ACATCCTCTATGCCTTTTGTGAGGTGAGGGTGTCTGAACCCATGGGGTTGGCTCCCTTTTGTGTCTGCCAAGAATTTAAGGAGATCAGGACGAGTTTACAAGGGCAGTGATGGGTTTTGCAGCACAGGGATTATCCAGAGGGAGTCAGGAGGGATTTGGAAAGGCTCCTCACTGCCTGGGAAGGCTGGTGGGCTGCTGGGCTCGTTTATCCTTTGTCACACATCTTATCTGTCTCAGGGCTCCCTGCTTTGTGTGACTGATAACCTTGGGGCAGGGGGAATGACGGACAGATGGGCAGCCCCTGCATAATATTGGGATTGTCTGCTGTGCCCAGTGTCAGCACGGGGACAATGAGAGAGTTATTGGCCAAATATCCCTGCAAAAAGGCCCCTGTTGGCTCCTTTGCAAGCTGCTCCTTGGAGGTGGTGCAGAGTTTCTTTGCTCTGATGTGAAATACCTTCTGTCTCCAGGATCTCTGTCAGCATTTCATCACACTGAAAGCAGGAGCTGCATTATTTTACTTTTACCATGAACAGCACAGGGAAAAAATTAAAAACTCACAGTGACCAGTTGTCAGAATTTATTCACTTAAATTGAATGTCCTGGGGTTTGGCATGCTTTGTTTGAGTGGGTGTTGTCCTGGATTCTCCAGTATAAATCCCCCAATTTGGACACAGTATTGCTGGTGTTATTTGTATTTTTCCAGATCAGATTTTCCCCAGTCTGGGCAGTTTTGTGGCTGCTCCTTCCCGTGGTCACAGTCACTTTGCACCACAGCCAGGCACATGTTTGCAGTGAAGGACTGTAAATGTTTCTCAAGAGCAAAGGAACACAGAAACTCCTGTGCATCCCTAACTGAGCCCTGAGAATGAAACCAAAGCTGAAATTTGCAGCTCTTAAAAAGAACTCATTTTGCTCATGGAGCAATCAGGTTTTGGTTTTTTTCTCTTTTTTGTAAAGGATCATTACTGATGTTTAGTTAGTTGTGGAAGCGACAGGGACTTTCCTCATCCTGTTAATCATAAAATGGTTGATTTAAATAGATCCATGCTTTAGCCCTCAGTCCTGTTACGAGCCCTCTCAGTTCCTGCCTCCTGAGGCTGTAAAACATTAAAATATTCATGAATGAAAGCCCATCAGGAGGCTTCCTTTGGGCACAGCTCTGTCAAGAAGTTGAAGGGTTTGCCCAAGTCCTTCTGCCTTTTCCAGCAGCTGCCAGAAGTGAATTCCTCAGGTGGGGTTCACCAAAAACAGCTTTAGCACCCAGACTGCATTTGCAGAGCCCAGTGTGGGGGGCTGGCTGCTTGCCATTTGGTTTTTCCCCAGTTATTGTGCTCTTAAGTGATGAGAAATCATCCATGGCAGGTGATTTCTGATCAGGATGAGAACAGAAGTTTCCTAGAGGACCCCCTGATTAAATTAGAACATGGTCACTCGGTAACGGACTGAGCCCATCCCTCTAGAAATTATTTTTCTTTGAAATTTGGGGCAAAGGAGAGAGGTAACATTTGACACTTTGAATGTGTCATTTATTGTCATTTTGTGTCATTTTGAATTTCATTATAGGAAATGTTAAGCTGCCCTGACACGCCAAAGGTGCAGTGCATTTATTAACAGCAAATTGCACAAGGATGGGAGCTACACACACACACACACACACACACACACACACACACACAGAGAGAGGTGTATTTGGGCTTTTATGATTTAATAGGAGTGCTCAGGGCTGGGAACAAAGTGGGGATTGGTGAAAGGTTGGGCTCTGTGATCTTGGAGGTCTTTTCAACTTAATTGATTCTCTTCTATGATTTAGCTTCAGCATTGTGCATCTCCACTAAAACCAGCTTTTAAAAATCATTCTGATACTGCATCCATAGCAGCACCCACAGCTCAGCTCTCCAAGGCTGTTGGGCTTTTTCCAGCAGCTGGCTTTGAATCCTGGAGTGATTTGCAGAGTCATTACTCATGGCTATTCACAGTTCAGAAGTTCAAGAGACACAAAAAAAAAGTCCAGGGTGTGTGATCAAAGATTTATTGTTGCCAGTTTCCAAAGAAAGGAAGGGGAAAGAAAAAAAAAACCAAAAACCAAACCAAACAAAAAAATCCAACAAAACTATAAAAGTCCAAAACCAGTTGTTTGAAAGCAGAATGGAGGATCTTAGAGGAAAATTATTGTTTCTGGAGCTGCTCAAAGTGTCCCTGTGTGTACAAGTGAGTCAGGAACATTGTTTCCAGCATCTGGAAAGTTGGGAGAACAGCACAGGCATTACCTAACACATGCCAACCCAGTTCCTCAAAACCTTTGGAGTTTTGCCATTTTGAATTTCATTTGATGATGATGCTTAAAATTTTCAAGAGATTTCAGGTCTGGATCCAGCTACTGAGTTAAGAAACTTAATCAGAATCAGCTGTGCAAAACAGTCCTTTTGTGTATTAAAAAAAAAAAAAAAAGAAGTAACAGAAATATTCTCTCTCCTTCCTGGCCTTAATTGGGATCCTGCCCATGGAACCATATATATTCTAGGTATCTTAGAAAAATCAATATCTGCACAGTAATTGAATTTCTAATTATTGTAATTGCATATATCAGTAAATCCCCTTGTCTTTTCTGTGTGCCAGTCTCTGCTGAGAGCAAGGAGTCTAAACCTGAAACACCAAACAGGGCCATGAACTGAGCTGTGCAGAAACGTGAGGAAACAGACTTTGATGAATGGTAAGAAATTAAGGGAAGTGCCCATAGTTTGTAGCTCATAGTGAGATGTTGCAGGAGAAGGGACACACACAACCCTCAAGATGAAAAGTCAATCACTGGTTACTCAATCACAGAAGGTTGGAAAAATCCTCTGAGACTGAATCCAAGCTGTTCCTGGTCCCCAATTTGTCCCCAGCCCAGAGGTCTGAGTGCCACCTCCAGGCCTTCCTTAGGCACCTGCAGGGATGGGGGTTCCAAACCTCCCTGGGCAGCCCCTGGCAATGTTTAACAACCCTTTAATTGAATAAATTGCTGCTGCTGTCCCAGCTGAGCCTGCCCTGGCCCAGCCTGAGGCCGCTCCCTCTGCTCCTGTCCCTGTTCTCTGGCAGCAGAGCCCAACCCCCCGGCTGTGCCCCCCTGGCAGGGCCTTGTGCAGAGCCACAAGGGCCCCTGAGCCTCCTTTGCTCCAGCCTCAGCCCCTTCCAGCCCCCTCAGCCCCTCCTGGGGCTCCAGCCCCTGCCCAGCTCCGTTCCCTGCCCTGGACACGCTCCAGCCCCTCCAGGGCTCTCCTGCTCTGAGGGACCCAAAACTGGACCCGGCCCTGGAGGTGTGGCCTCAGCACAGAGGGACAATCCCTGCTCAGCATGATCTGCATGTTTCTTCAAGACTTCCAAAAATGTAACTTGAAAAATTCTTGGATCTTAGCAAAAAATCATCAAAATTAATTTTTATTACCACAGACACATTTAGTGTTTGCTTCAGTTCATATTTAGGATTCAGGATCAAAATAATGGAAAATGTGCGAGGAATAATTTTCAGGAGTGGGCCCAAGGGCCTCAGCTCCTGCTTTGTGCCAGTGGTGACCCCAAAGTCCAACAGAGAAGGGAAATACCCACAGATGTTCCCTCATTACTTCACAAGCCCAAGATCATACCTCATTTGCATCAGGAAGAGAAACCAAACTTCACCTGCACAGGTCACATTGCTTTCAGATTTTAGGAGGGTACCAAAATGGTGATTTTTAATTCTGTGTTTTAAATACACAACAGATGTAATGCCTTATACCTCACACACTCTGAACTTGCATGAATTTATATATGGATAAATAAATATCTAATGTGTCCCAGCCATGTTGTTAGGTTGTTTTAGCAGAATCCTCATTTCGCACTGTGTATGTCATTTATTTTCCTTTGTTTTAGCTTTGAGGATATTAGTCTGGTTTTTATGAAGAGAGTTATTTAGGAACAGCCCTAAGCTGCAGACTAAAGGACTTTGTAAACTGATGCTCCACAAAAGCAAACCAGCTCACCAGTTATTTTCAGCTATTTACTTCTGATTCCTGTAATGGCTTCTTGAAGAGGGTATTTATCTCTTAGGAGGATTTGAAACCATCCAACTAAAAATACTCAATATGGAACCTAATTTAGTTGATATAATCACAGAATGGTTTGGGTTGGAATGGACCTTAAAGATAATCCAGTTCCAACTCCCCTGCCATGGCAGGGACACCATCTCAGGTTGCTCCAAGCCCCAGTGTCCAACCTGGCCTTGGACACTTCCAGGGATCCAGGGGCACCCACAGCTGCTCTGGGCACCCTGTGCCAGGGCCTGCCCATCCTCCCAAGGAAGAATCTTCTCTAGGATCCAATCTAACCCTACTCCCTCTCAGTCTGAAGCCATTCCCCTTTGTACTTTACAGGTGCAGGATTTTTTTTGTTTGTTAGGTTGTTTATTCATTTCAGATTAAGGAAAAGATTGCTCCCTGGCAGCAGTGGAGTTAAAATTATTTCCAGTTATATCACCAGGAGTTATTGGCCCTACTCTCAGACACCCCTCTAATGCCAGACAAGGAAATGATAAATACTCCTTTGTCTAGGGCACAAACTACTTGTCTATCTGCAGATTAACCCTTTAACCACAAAACATGATCCAAAATCTGCTCTCTTCCCTTCTGGAGGCACTCATGGGTGTCACCATGCCAGATGCTGGGGAAGAGACAGCAGCAATAAATAATGCTCCAGTGGGAATAAATAATGCTCCAGTACTCAGCAGAAGTAAAATCCAAGACTACCTAAATCTGATTTAATCTCTGCTGAGCAGGACTTGCTGGATATGAAATGAGTTTGAGATTCTTAGTTGAGAAGAATCTTGTAACAAAGGAGCTGCTCATTTCCTGAAGATTTCTGATTTGGTAGAACATGGTAATTTTAGAAATGTGTCAAAATCTGGCTAAACAAGTTAACACATGGGATTTGCAGAGAGAAAGTGTTTTCAAATAAATCACTACCATATATGCTTGGAACCATTATTTGGAGTTTGACGTCCATGCCATTTTAATGGATAATTTTGAAACAACAACAAAAAGAAAACCCCACCCAAAGTCACAAACATGATGGACTATTTACCTGCCAATTCCTTCTTTCATCCAAGCTGCTCCTGCATTACAAAAGTGTAATAAAAATCCCCACACTGGTAAGAACTAGTAAACATTTTTCTTCATTTGCATAAATAAGAAACCCCAAACAAATACAAGGGCCAAGGACTTTCCCTGGCCAAGAACTGGTTAAATAGTTTGAAACTATGCTCAAGATTTCCTGAAAACGTATTTGTCTTTCAGCCAAACAATACTGTTAAAGCAATGTAAATGCTTTGCTTCCAAAATGTGCTTTTTCTGTTCACAGAGAGCAGCAGTGTAAAAATAAATCATCCATGAAGCATATTCTCATTTTTAATTTCATCCCTTGATAGATCAGTTGCTTCAACATCCCTTAAAACCAAAGAGAGAAAAGTTAGAGGGTTCACATTTTAAAGATTGTCAATTGTACAGACCCAGTGCTGCAATCCTTGGGCAGGGCATGGGCAGCTTCTGTCACCACCTGAAAACACTGGATTTTATTAACACCAACTATGAGTCTTTATGTGTCTACAAGGCTGGAAAGGCATTTCCCTGCCTTCTCACACCTTGCTTTTCTCTGGCAAAACCAACAGCGATCACTCAGCAGGTCCTAAAGAACTAAGTCACAGAAAAGGAACGGATTTTCTATTTCCAGGCGACAGGAATGAACAAATTACCTGATTTGGGCAATCACCAAAAAACACAGCAGTGCCAATTTCACTGCACTTTGCACTGGACCATCAGGTTCCTGCAGGACTTGAAAATTAAACAGCCCAGAAGGTCTCTGAAGGAGTTGAGCATGCCAAGGGCAGGGAAGGGGGGAAGGAATCCATGCTGAATTTGGCAAAATGAAGCTGCTTTTGTCCTCAGCAGAGGGAAGAGCAAAGTGCATCCAGCTGCTGGTTGGGTGGTTTGCACACCACAGTCACACGTGCATGTTCATGGATCTGCTGTCTTCAGGAGGTGGTGAGAGCTTGAATTTATTAGGAAACCAAAACATTTCACTCAATTGTTTAACATGCGAGATTTTCATGAGGGAATGAAGGTTAGTTACATTTCCAACAGGATTTCAAAACTACATTTTGCCTGTTCAGCTCTAAGCCAAGTGTAAGGCTGAAAGGTTGAAGAGACTAATCAAAGGAACAGAAGGCAGAAAGACAATATCAATTCAGTACCTAAAGATGGGTAATTCACACATTTTTGACATTTGTGTCTTGCATAGACAAATGCTTATTCATTTTTTTTTTCTCCCAAGACAACTCAGCTTCAGAAAACAAAATGTTAAATCAACTTTAATTACAATTAAATCATGTGTTCCAATTTTGCAAAACACCAGGGTGTTGTGGATTTTTGTTTAAGTGCAACTATCATCCCTTGGAAAGGCTTTGTTTTGTCCCATGGGCTACCAAGTTCCTGAAGTCAGGAAGGTGGACTTGTGATTCTTCCAGAAACAAATCCATGGATTATTTCACAGAACATCTGAGGTGGAAGGGACCCACAAGGAGTCCAGCTCCCCAGGGAATGGCCCATGTGGGGATCAGAGCTGTGCCCTGGTGTCACTGGCACCAATCTGACCAACTGAGCCAAGCTCAGGCCAGGAGTTGGGGTTTGAGCCACGTGTGCTCCTATTCCACTCCAATATCCACGGACCTAAAGCTACTTTGGAAGCACAGGAACTGCGATTCCTCACTCAGTCTGCCTCCTGGCTGCATCTTGAACATCAAAAAAAAGATTTATTTGTTGCACCCCAGGTCACCATGAAATCCTGCCCTGCCAAGCCCTTCATCCGTACCCAAGTTTCCATGGAAAAGACCCAGGTGTGCAGGCAAGGAGAGCTCTCCAAATATTCCTGACACAGAGCAGGTACCAGGAGAAGGCAAATGAGCCTGACATGGATCCATGTGGAGCTTCCCTGAGGTCAGCAGGACTCCACTGAGACACAAAATCCAGATGGAGAAAACTTTCTGCAGAGCCAGAGCTGATTCTGAGCATTTTCTGACGTGATTATTTCTTTGTAACAGTCATTCAGAAACTTCTCCTGATCGTTTTGGAATCGATTTGCTGAACTGCAATGCATCCAAAGTTAATAAAAAACAACAGAAAATTGCCTTGCCTGTTCCAGGAATATTGAAAAAAATTGGACTGAGAACCCTGTTTTGGGTTAGAGTGAAAAAATATAAAAATTAAAAGTTTCAATAATTGTGTTTGCAGAAGAATCACATTGATTCAAAAACCAAATTAGTTCCATTGCATATGAAAATGGCATTAACTGTGGGCAGGGGGAATTATACAAAGACTCAAAGTCAGGTCCCCTGTAAAGACTTTTTAACTAATGTAAACATGTACCTTTCCTGAATGGTGATGCTTTGCTGAAACCAGCAATCCTTCCTACACAGCAAAAAAAAAAAAAAAAAAAAAAAAAAAAAAAAGATAAAAAACCCAAAGTACTCTACTTGTTTTTTCTTCTTTTAAATTATGAAAAGAACAAGCACTTCCCTGGAGTTCACACCCACTACAGAATTCTCACTGAACTGAAAGAAAATATTTGAGTTTCACATGTTAAGCAATAGTTTTACACTGGTGAAGTCTTTTCAGTTTTAGGAATTCAAGCCCCTATATTTTTTTAATGTTTCTAATCTGACAGTGAAACTATTCCATATTCCCCTTTCACAGTAAACTCTGTCAACTTCAGTCTCCAGGAGTTGATAAAGTTGCTGAAGACAAGGTCATGTTTTGGAAGAAAAGAACTTCTGCTGCATATAAGGTGAGGGGAGTAATGATTTAAAATAAAATTAAAAAAAAATAACTAGAAAATGGCTTCTTTCTGAAAAATAAACTTTCAGAAGTTTGCAAACCCTGAGGCCTGGTTGTTTCCAATAAAAACCCCAAACAAACCAACAAATATAATCTGCTATTGAATGGAGATGGTGGGGGTAATGGAGCACTCTTGGAGTTAAAAACAACTAAAAACAAAAATACAGAATCTGAGTTCCAGTAATCTGAGCTATCTTTTGTAGGGGCTGAATGCTTCCAAAGGAGCAGGATCTGTACATGGTTTGTCTTTTAAAGTGTTTTGGTGTCAAACTGGATTTGACAGCAGCCTTTGAGATAGCCATGCTATGTCAAAGCCTTCCTAATTCATCTTCCATTATTCATTTCCTGTGCTGTTTATCAAACATGGCACATGAGTGGCAAAGCAGAGAAATGAGAAGAAAACAAACTCATAGACATCACCAATCCAGTGGAGAGATCATGACAGCCCTTGAACTAAGGAAGATCCTCAGCCAGGAGTCAGTGAGAGCCAGAGCAGAAACACCTCTTGTGTTGAGTGAAAACTATAAAAAAGAAACCAGAAACTCCCAGTCACTGGGAACTCCTGTTATCCTCCATGTGTGTGTGGCAATGCCACTGAAATTTCCTCCTGAAGCTTTTCTTCCTACCAACTCAGCCTTGCCTTGGAAGACAATCTGCCATGAGCAGCCTCCAGCCACCTCAGCATGTCCAGCAGCACAATCCTTCATCCTCCTGGAACCAAGGGCACCTCAGCAAGTGCCTGAGGGTTCTGAGAAGCAGAAATTAGGTATTCAGTAAATATCTGCATCTGCCAAAGGGCTTTGTTCAAATACAGTGCCTTAAGATTCTAAAGGTGACCACCTTTCTCCCTGTCATGTTAGAAACACACCCAGATTTGGTCAAAATCAGAAGGAAACTCTGGCTTTGATCTAAACCAACACTGTGACAAATGGACAGGGACAAAAGAGGGTGTTGATCATAGCATGAGGCTCTTGAGTCTCTTATTTGTACTCAACAACGGGAAATACAAAGTTCCAAAAGCAAGTGTTCATGGATAGACAATCACAGACTTCAAACTTTGGGAAAATGAAAGAAATGAACTGTTACCACAACAAAAAAAAAATCCCAAAACAAAACAAAACCAAACCAAAACCCAGCTGTTTTTTATCACCAGCTCTTCATTTTTTAAATGACACACAAGGATTTCCTACTCTAACAAAGCCTGCTGTATATTCTGGTAGTAAACTTCAGATCTGGAGAAATTTAATATAAATCCAGGTTATATTTTTCTTTTTGTATTAGGGGAAAATATTTCAAATGCAATAAAATAGCAGAATTCATGACTGTATAGTAGGCAACTTTTCATTTTTTTAGATTCAGTTGTACAAACTATAAACTGTTAAATTTCTCTAATAATTGGAAAAGTTGTGGGTATTTCAACTTACTTACCTGAATATTCATTTAGCAAATATTTTCAGATACAAGTCTAGATACAGAGTTATGCAATTTGAATATTAGTTTACACATAATATAAATCAATGTTTGACAATATCAAAATCCCATCAAACAGTGGGCCCTTCTTATGCTATTATCAAATATAGTATATCACTGTGGGATAGCTGAGAATCATAGAATGCTACTGTAGGCTTGTTTATTAAATTGGGTCAATTTTCAGACCTTCCAAATAGGAATACTAAACATTTATTTTTCCCCTCTGGAAATTATTTTTTTTTCCTCCTGCTTAATACAGTTGTCATCCCAATTTCTAGTGAATTTATAAAAATATTTTTTTTTTATCCAATAACCCCAGCAAGGTAAAAATAGGAGTTTTTATAGCAAATGATAAACAGGCTCACGGACTATGAGAGAAACTAAACTTATTTAAATTGCCATACATTCTCTACTGAATCACACATCAACAGTTCCTTTTTATGTGTGTTGCTGTCCACCTCAGACTAGCAGTTTTTAAGGTGCAGAAGCATCTTTCAAATATATGCATCTAACTCAATAATCAAGTTTCACACACTAGTGTCACATGCTTTAAATTTACATCACCTGCCCATCAAAAGCTGTGTTAAATAACAGCACTAATTGAAACTGCATAATTCATCAGAAACTGCAGCACTTCCAATTCAGAGAACAAAGGGGTGCTTACGTGGTTCTTTATATTACTAGATATAATTTTCTGAAATAAGGAAAGGAAAATAAACAAAAAAACAAAAAAAAAAACCAAACCAAAAGACATTTGAAAGAAGTTGCTGCACCTGCAAAAACACTCTTTAAGCTTACTATGAAATACAAAAAAGTGCACCCTTCTATATCTACATATAAAACATATTAGAAATAAAACTTGTGTAAAATGTTTGCTGTGCAAACTATAAAAAGTCAGTCAGTCAGTCCATTCTTTTTCCTAAGTGTTTTTTTCCTCCAGGCTCTCTGGTTCCTACTGCAGAGAGTCGCTGTTGTCCAGGACCAGCCCGCCGATGTTGGCTGTTGAGAGGTCGCCGCCGTCGTCGTCGCCGCTGTCCACGGACTCGTCCTCGCTCTGCCCGCCCATCATCACCTGCTGCACCGCCAGCGTGGCGCTGTCCGAGGACAGGGACTGCAGACTGTCCACGTTCATGTTCACTGGGGCTGTGATGGTCACGACAGCACCTGCAGGAGGCACAACCACAGCACTTCAGCACCGCTCTGGCCTTCTGTTTATGGGGCTTTTTGCTAATCAATGGCTACCACAGAACTAATTATCTTTAATCAACAGTTACCCAACACAGAAACTCAAGGAACTATACTAAAATAGAAGATAAATTGTTTCTATCCTTTTGCACTAACAGCATTTTTCCCCCACCTCAGAAGGAAAAATTCTCCAGACAGCACAACAGATGTATGTACCCTTCAGGATCTTATTAAAAACTAAGCACCAGAAAACCTGCTGACAGCCCAGCTCAGAAAGCTGATACTTCTCTCATTAGGGTTCACCTAAAGTCTAGCCCCTACCTAACCTGCTTTGTTTGGTCTGGTTGTCAAATAGTTAAATGTCAGGAAATGTCAGAATTAGGTTGGTCAGGAATCTTAAACTTTTGTGTTGTGAATCTTAAATCTGTCTTATGGACACCCAGTACAGCAATTCTCCAGTCAAGTCACCACAAGGCCATTTCTGCAAAGTATTCCAGCTTAATTCCTTGCAGAAAAAGAGAAGATTCAAGGTTCAAAATGTTCAAAATTCAAAAGGTTCAGATTTAAGGTAACTTCAATAGATAAAGCTGTTGACAGATCCAGCAGAGGTTTGTCACAGACATGTTTAATGAAAAATCTTTTCTTTAAGATTTTTTCTTTTGAGAAGCTGAGAAGCTTCAGAAACAAAATGCAAACAATGATTATCTGCTGCTGTGGGATGCAACAGGTGGATCTGTGATTGGTCTCATGTGGTTGTTTCTAATTAATGGCCAATCACAGTCTAACTGTCCAGACTGTCTCAGTCAGTCATAAAAGCTGAGTGATTTTGTTATCATTCTTTTTCTATTCTTAGCTAGCTCTCTGATGAAATCCTTTCTTCTATTCTTTTAGTATAGTTTTAATATAATATATATCATAAAATAATAAATCAGCCTTCTGAAACATGGAGTCAGATCCTTGTCTCTTCCCTCATCCTGAAACCCCTGTAAACACCACCACAGAGGCTGAGGGAAAATTTGTTACAAACTGGAAAGAATAAAGCACCAAGCAGCAGGACAGAAAGGATGATCCTGGCATTAAAGCAGTTATTTATCTTGCTTAAATGAAATCTTTTTGTTTGATCTGACACTGAGGAAGTTACTTCAGTCAAAGCCTGTGGAGGTTCTGTGATATTTTTCTGCCTCTCATTGTGAGGCAGATGTGGAATTGCAGCTGCTCAGCCATGGAGCTGCAGCCCAGTGCTGCTCATCCAACAGGACACTCCTGATGTGCACACAGAGAGAACTCAGCTGTACATCTCAGTTTTACATCTTTTATTCTGTCATTTCATAACTTTTGAAACAAAAGCAAGTTTCTCAACATGAATTCCATCCAATACAATACCCTTGCTTAAACCACAGAAAAGTGTTAAAAAGAGGAAAAAAGTCATACATTTCTGTTATGCTTTCCCAGATTAAAACCACGTTTATACTGAAATATCCAGAAGTTTCCCTCCCAGCACAGGCATCAAACCCTCCCTTTCCCTGTCAGAGAGGAATAACTTTGTGATCCATGTTCAGGCAGCTCTCCTCACCATCTGACATCGTGAGCTCGTTCGATTGCTGCTGAGCAACTCCTGAGGCAATGGAGTCAGGCCAGAACCTCTGCACTGGTCGGTTCTGGGCTGTTTTCTTCTTTGTTTTTGGAGTTTCAGAACAACTGGAATCCAGCATTGGCTGAAGAATTCGCCTTCTAGCATTGATAAACCTAAATGCAATCGAGGGCAAGGTGAATTAGGATCAGTTGGCTGTAAATTCCGTGTCTCTCACATTCACAAAGTATGCAGCAGGAAAAATAAAATTAGGAATATGAAATCTTCTATCAGCTGGGCTTCACATTCTTTTTAAAGTGTAGAACCACTCCTAGAACATCAGCATCCTTCAATTTTGGCAAACCAGCTAAGAAAGCACTTCTATCCTTTTGCACTAACAGCATTTTCCCCCCACCTCAGAAGGAAAAAATCTCCAGACAGCACAACAGATGTATGTACCCTTCAGGATCTTATTAAAAACTAAGCACCAGAAAACCTGCTGACAGCCCAGCTCAGAAAGCTGATACTCCTCTCATTAGGGTTCACCTAAAGTCTAGCCCCTGCCTAACCTGCTCTGTTTGGTCTGGTTTCATTTACTCCCTTAAGCTTCTGCATTACTTATTCCACAGGCTCCCTGCCTTTCCAAGGGCTCCTGATCCAGGAGATGACAGCAAACACATTTGTCAGATCTGTCCTGGTTCATTTCAGTTCTCTGATTTTCACTTGCTTACTTTAGCATGCTAATTGCTGTCCTTACCCTTTCTGTTAGTAAACAAGAAAATACTGAAACTGAATCAATTTCAACACAGTGAGCTATGGCAGGGAGTTGTGACTGAAGATATCATCTTCAAAAAAATATAAAAAGATACATCCAGGTCCCAAGTTTACCTGCAATGGGAGGAAATCAGGTGCAGCTGGCAGGTTCCTAAGTTGTAACAGAATGCTCTGCAAAGACAGCAGTCAGATCCCAGCACAGAGCTCCATAGCCACATGTCACACAGGCACAGCCACCCTGTTCCACTTTTGGAACCAGTGTTCTGTCACTATCTTGGCTATTTCCCCCCTGGACCCCTCCAGAGCCTCGCAGCCAGTGTCCTCTTTGAAATCTGAGGCAGATCCCAGTGGGACTTTGCTGCAGCAATTTTAGGAACTGATGCCACAAGGAGAACAGGACATGTGTCAGCACCTTCCCTCCTCTCTTCTGCAGGGCAGGTGTCTTATCTTACACCTCCAGGAAAGATAAGACATGACAAAACCTGCTGAACCATGAACTGGTGGAGCTGAGGAACTGCCTCTCCATTCAGAGAGAGCATCCCTTGATACAGAACAGAATCTGCTAACAGTAACTTAAACACCTGCAGCCACCAGGCCACTAAAAATGCCTTTAGACTTCAACTTCTTTACTTGCAGAAGAGACATGAGAGTACTTCCATCTTGCTCAGCACTGGAACAGAACCCAATAATGCTGCAAGGTTTTCTGGAGTCCTTATATAATTTAAATGGCATGAGTATTATTATACCTTATAAAAATAATGTGCTTGTGTGCCAGCGCACAGATCTCTCTTCTATACATGTTTTGTAACATATGTAGAATACTTAAGTTCAACTCCAGATGTCCAAGTTATCCTCCTCACTATTTCTGAGCAGTAAGCACATGGAGACAAGGACAGATATTAAGGGTTTTGTTCTTACCAATTGTTAACCTGGAGTAGTGTCAGATTTGTTTGTGCTGCAATCTGCTTCTTCTCATCCTCTGTTGGATATGGATGCTACAGAGGCCAGAAAAGCAAACAAAAAAGGCATAAGCTTGTTTTTCATCTCCTCATCAAAAATAAGATCTCCTTTATTACATCTGATTAAAAAGGATGGATTAAGGCCACCTGACTCATTAAAACACAAACCTTAGAAAACCTCCCAAACTTTTATAGACAAAAATAATTCAACAAAGAGTGCTTCACTACACAAAAACTGATTTTATCCTTGAGAGTGTCTGTGGCACCATGAAGCTGCTGCTGTGTAATTCAGAAGAAAAAGCTTCTCATGGCTGACAGTCTTTATTAAAGAGCGTGATCCCTGGGCAGCACAGCATGTGAGCAGCTCTGATTAGTTCTGCTGGCCAGGGCAGTGTCATATGAGAGAAGTGAGGAGCACTCAGTTAAATAAAGGAGCACTGGAGTTAAATAAAGCTGCTCTAAGCAGATGAGGACAGGGCACGTAACACAAGAAGTGCACACGCAGCTTCCCTGGATCCATTCTCTGCTGCAAACCAGTTGTAAAAGGCAAAATATCAATCAAGTCAGCATTGAAATAGCCTGGGAGCCATTTATCCTTTCAGAGTATTCATGCAAAGGGAGGCCAATTGAAAGCACAAGCAGATAGACATGCTTGGTACACATCAGAAGGACTGGAAAGGAGATAAAGACAGAAAATGTGAAATACCCCTAAAACACTGCAAAATACAGGTGGAATTACTTTTCCTTGTGCCACAAAACAGGGTGTAGAGAGTATTAAGTTCTCAACAAATGAAATGAAGAAAGGCTCCTTGTAAAAGCACTTATTGAGACCATGCAGTACAAATGTAACATATTTATTAAAACAATACTAAAAGCCAACCAGCATTAGACTGTGGAACTACTCCAAATGACTCCAGGGAAAGCTGAACTGAGATTCCATAACTGACAACAGAATAAATTCATCTTGTTTATGAAGAAAAATTGTAAGAGACCACAAGAAAGAGCTACATAAAAAACTGCCCATGCTCAGTCCTTACCCCTATGTGCTGAAAAAGCCAAGATCTCATCACATTTGTAGCGTGCTTGGGAAGAACTCCTCTCTTGTTTTTTGATGAGCCATCATCTTGATGCAAGATGCCTAGATCTTGGTTTAATTGCAACTGGAGCTGCACATTTAATTTTAGGAGAAATAAAGCAGTTAACATAGTCATGGCAGTTCTGTATAAATAAATGAAAACTCATTTATAGAAGAAATGAAAAGAAATTAGGCTTGAATATCTTGAATATACTCACTGTGTGCAAACATAAACAACTATGGAAGCTGTAAAATATTACTGATTTAAGACTTAAATGAAGAATAAATTAAAATTAATTATTATGCTGCAGTTGCAAAAAAAAAGATGCTAAAGGTCCTGCTAAATAAATGCATTAAATTCACAAAGAGCATTAAGATCCATACAGCAGAACCTATCATTCACTTTACAACACTCATACTACTTCCTAAATATTCATATTTCTTTATCTTTGTTTTTCACTTCCTATGGATTCATCAAATCATTTGCACATTGGTTATCTGAATGTTTGGGAATATATTCTTAAATGCTTATGCAGAAATAGAAAGAAACAGCACAATTTATGTGCTGTCCTATAAGATTCTATTTCAGACAATTGTAACCAAAATAATTCTAAATCAGGTTTTCCAGACAAATTGGAGCAATTTCTTAAGCCAATCAATATGCAGGAAATTAGTTTTAAACAAGGTTTAGGTTATCAAATTACTACAAATATATATCTGGAGCATATTTTAATTTCCAAAGTAATGTCTCACATTCTAAATAACCTGCTTGCATATGGAAGCTTTATAATGAACTTTCAATAGCTTTTCTACAGTGCTTTTCCCTACCTCCACAGCATTCTGAAACACTAAAGAAGGATTTTCAATTAGTGACCTCTGCATAGGTGGGTTTGGAGACTCCAACTAACATCGAGAGTAGTCACAGATGCATACAGGAGGTCAACTCCTTTTTTATTTATAGGCTAGAGGGATTATTTTTTTCTCAATATTTTATTTTTTTTTCATTTAAGGTAAAAAATCCTCAATTTTTCCAAATCCCTTCAGTCCAGGAGTGTAATTTTACACATTTCTTTCTGAGAGGTGTGTGAGGACAGAGCTGTCTGTGTTCTAGGGGGGGACATGGCTGAGTACAGATATTCTCCTGCCAATTCAAAGAACACTCTGTGCACACTTTTTTGGTTGGAAGGCCAGAAAAGGGGGGAAAAGAAGCCAGTGAGTCAGTGATTACCAACAGATTTTATGCTGGGGAGATGGGAGCTCCTCATTCACATTTCTAATTAAATCCAGATTCCAGGAAGATTTGGTTTACCACTTCCAGAGAAAGCCAGCAAGGTTTTCTATACCAGAAGATGGTCAAGTTTTCATGTTTCTTTTTCTTTAGTTGTTTCTTTGAACTCTTCAGATCAACTCTTAAGAGCCTCCAACAAAAGAGTGCTGGCTCTTATATTTTAGGTTATAAAGGGACAAAATTAGGATCTCCCAGAGTCTCAATTAAATATTTTGAGGGTTAAGCTCTGCAATACAGCTTCACAGTTCTATTGGTTGCCATTGTAATAAAAAGTCAAATTTCTCAAAATAGTAGTGAGGCACCTTAATGTAATGCATGAAATCTATCCAGCCATAAACAAAGTTCAATGATTAGAAAAGTTATAATCATTGAAAAAGTATTCATTTAATTCAGAGGGGTTTTGGGTTTGCATTGGTGTGGGGTTTGTCTGTCTTTGTTTTGTTTGGTTTGTTTGTTTGTTTTTGATTTTGTGCGATTGATTTTGGCTGTTTGTTTTGGTATGCTTGCTTGTTTGTTTTTATTTGGGTTTTCTTTGTTGTTGTTGATTGGGTTTAGAGATGGGTTTCTTTTTAAATTTTAGTTTGTTGTTTTGGTTTTTTTCTTTTATTTCATGTACCTATAACTCTTCTGGCATCAGTAAAAGAACACAATTAAAAGGTAGGAACTCTGATGAGCTGTTGTGGCAAGGAGGACCTTATGACATTTCCTACAACCTGTACCTCCCACAGCAGTGGCTGCACCAATTTACAATTAATTAGTCTGTGTGTACACAGAGCTCCTTCTGGCAGTGTGTCAAATTTAAATCAAAACTCCCAAACCCCCTGAGATGCATTTCCAACCAGATCACCATTGTGTGGAGCTTGTGGAACAAACCTGAGAGTTCTGGATGCGAATAGTGCCAGGTGACAGTGCTTGTGTCACCACCTGTCCTTGTGGAGTGACCACAGTGACTGGCTGATACACTGTCCCCCCTGGAAGCAAAACAGAAACACAGATTATGGGCAGGAAAAACCCCTTCAAGTATTATTTTCTTTAAACACAGCACCACTGCACACCATACAAGACTTTAATAATATATTAATTATTTTTTTCTAGTCATCAGGCAAGATGTGCTCTTTGCACACTAAAATTTACATCCATTCACAAAACACTGTACAAAATCTGATTCTATTTCTCTGTATTTTGGGCATTCTAAATCTATTTTCAAAGGAAAATGCCATGATTATCAGGCTATAAAAGAGTTTTTCATGTTGTTTTAAGTGAGCTAAGTCATCAACCAACAAGGGTCTCAACACCAAAATCACACCTCAGTGTGGCCAGTTCTTAGGGCAGCTGGGTTTGATTTGAAACCTTGCTGAGAAGCAAGACTAAACACTTAATCTCAAATGTAATTTCCATATAAAAAGGACATGAAGGATTTTACAGTAGGTGTGTGGTTCCAAACTCCAAGGAGCAGGAGGCAACCAACAAGTGCAATGGTTTAGGTAATGCATGTTTTTGTGAAATAGAATTCTTCTTTTTAAAGGCAAAAAGAAGTCAAACATCACAGTCTGTGAAAATTTAACAAATGTAGTGTTGCACATTAAGATCTCTTAATATTATATATGTAACTGCCACTCCCATAGACATACTTGGAAAACATATAAATTAAACAAACATTCATAAACCAGTAAAGCACTTGACTGTACTACTACAACTTTTCAGGTATTAAATCACACTTTTTCAAGTATTTGTGTAGTTTTTGCAACAACCACAAGGTAAATCAAGATGAAGAGCAAGGTGCCAGTTGTTTTTAGTGTGTCATACCTGCTACTGTTGCCATAGTTACATTTCCCTGCTGCAATGCTGATGCTGGCACCACGATCCCTTGGGGACTGAGTGTGCCTGCAATGGCACTTGGAATTTGCTAGAAAAATAAAATAATTAGTTGCTTACATTTTTTAAATTTTTATTTTCATGTAAAGAGATCAAGCATGCTTGTGTATTTGTGTAATTTGTTTTAGGTATTTTTGGCTCTAAAATATGTTTGGAGTTTAATCACAGGATTACCTTCAAAGACAAAAATACTCCATTAGGGGTTCATCATTACCTACATTAACTTCCTCATTATCACCAACCATTACCTTTGAAAACCCTCATGAAAGCAACTGCTAGAAAAGATGTAAAACAATTTTGAGAAATTTTAGTTCTAGGTATGTAAAGAATAAGAAACAGTTTCCAAAGGCAAGAGGGAAAAAGGACAAATGAAATGACCCTTGATGCTCTTATTACAAGCATCAAAGCTTTAGAATTTTAGTTATTACCTCAATTCCTTCAATTTGAACATAATGTATTAAATATTCAGTATGTTTTATTCTGCTCAAGATAGCCCTTACTCAACCTTGCACATGCAAACTCTTACACATTTCCTTAGTATGTATGAATAATCTCTTTCGATAGCAAATGCAAAATGGGTCCCTCATATCTCTACAGAAAACTGTAAGAGATATACAGAAAAAAACCTTTTAAAAGCTGGTTTTGCCTGATTTTAAAATCTCCTTTCCACACTTCCAGACATCAAAACCTTTAAAAGGAGTCCAGAAAGTGAAGTTAAAAGTTATTGAGGCTTTTTTTTTAATGCAGAGCATCAGATACATGAGTAATTCACAGAAGGGTACTGGGGTGGCAGGGCTCACTCTGCAGCATCTGACAGCAAAAACATCAACCATGACCTATTAATTGTGCTCTATTTAATACAGAAAATGCAACATTGCAACTTTAATCCATCAGATATTGTCTATTTATTCCAGAATACAGGTTGTGTATAAAGTGCATCAGTCATCTCAATGTTTTAATGAAGGAGGCAGACTAAGGAGGCCTTAACAAGCAAAATTTTTCTTCTTTGTTTATTCTGTTTCCTAACCTCCTTCCAACCAAATAACAAATCCAGGCTCCACTTGCTGAACTGAGAGAAAATCATAAAAGGAAGACAGACAAGAAAAAATTGACTCTGTGCTCTGGCACATTTCAACAAATTTGTCCGTCGGGCAGTAGCACAAAATAAATCACATCCTCCCTCCAAATGAAAAAAAACCACCTCAAAACCAAACCATAACAAACAAAAAACCAACAAAAAACCAAACCAAAACACAAAATCAAACAAAAATCTCTTTCTACTCTTAATACCTGATTTGAGAGAATACAGGAAATTGCAGAAACTCTGTTTGCAAACTGATAGCAAAAGAAGCATAGCTGTAACTTCCTAAGGAAATCTAAGCAAAAATCCACTGAACAGCATTGGAAACACACCTGAGATTGCACAGGTGAGTAAGGACTTCCAGGCTCTCCACTTAATAGAGTTTCACTATTCATTTTTGTCTTCAGGCAGGCAATGTAACGACTGCAGAAATCCTTGCAGAGTTCATTGACCTTTTCCAGCTCCAGCAGATGGATTCGAAGAACTTGGATTGCTTTTACCATCTGAGGGAGAGAATTGGAAAAAAAACCCTCAGAAACAAAACAATTGTTCCTTAAAAAAATATTTAATGTGAGATTTAAGCAAACAGTGCTTGCCAGTAACGAAGATCACCCAATTAAAGCAGAGGTTCTAATTGCTAAATCCTGGAATGTGAAAGAACACAAGGAAAGAGAACACAGGGGAAACAGAACAGGACAGCAAAGTGATTTTTGTCATGTGTGACACATCAGGAAGACAGAGCAGCTGAGGTGTCACAGGGCACAGGAGAAGCCTGGATGTCCATGTGGTCTTTAACCCCCTCCTACACCTCTGGGGCACAGACCACACAGGAGTGCAAGTGATGGAAAGCAATCCCATCCCCAGGAATGGTTTGGAAGGCAGGGCTGGACAGGCTTGGCCAGCAGCAGTTCTCTCTGGAGCTCTATAAATCAGAAACACCAGGTTCAGCTCCACCCTGACACAAGGAAACCAGAAGGGCTGGAGATACAGTGAGAAAGAAGGCACTCCTGTGATTAAGCATAAATTTGTCCCACAGATTGCTGGAGGAAGAAAGCTTTTATTTTTCAATAAAATTAGAATAGAGGTCCCAGATTTAGCCAACAAAGCTTAAAGTAATCAAACAGTTCTTCAGTGCTACAGCTTTTAAGTTCCTCTGTGATTGTATGACAAAGATGAACAACTCTCAGTTAAAATCTTGTAAGAACTTTCAGGTGAGGAAACTGATTCTGAAATACAAAACATTAAATATAAAGCACTAAACCAAATTAAAAAAATAATCCATGTTTAAGCTAAAATGCAAGTACAGGAGATATGGATGTGAGGAGAATACTTGTCATGCTCACTGTGAGAAAAGCACTGTAAGCCTGGATAACCAATGGTATTACATACTGCACAAAAATAGCTTAGGTGATTGTAAGGGTCATGGCAGAAGATCAGAAGCTAAAACCAAATCCAGATGGTCCAACAGCAGCAGGAAATCCAGGACATTCAAATATGTACACAACACACCAGCAAAGTAATTATTTTTTATACAACATGCCACCCCCAACATTTCTGTGCTGTGCTGGATCTCTGAGACAAATATCCTTCAGATTCATGAAAATGAACAGTTGCAATTTTAAAGCATTGTGCAGAGCTTGAATTTACAATTATTTGGAAAAATCTGTCCACCATATAATAAATAACAGGGGTCCACCAATAAATAACAGGGCTTATTTACCTGAGCAGAGCTCTGATCCAGTGAACAGAAATTATACCCTGCAAACTATTAAACTTATTATAAATCTATCTTTACTTCCAACTCAAGAAGCCAACTGGGAGCTGAATATGCCTTTGCTCAAGTCATCCAAAGGAGATCAAGAAAACTTTTGAGTGTGCTCCCATCTCCATCATGACATTTTAGCTTTCATTGAGACAGATATTTTCCCTGTTTATTTCAGCAAAAGGTTCTAGGACACTCAGTGTAGACAACTGTGTGTTTAAATAAACAAGACGAAAAAATTAAGAAATGAAATTATTAAAAAAAATATTATTCTCAGGGATAAAAAGAAAAAAATAAATCTTTCAAAAAACAGCTGCAGAAACACCTGTACTGTAGATTTGACCCAAATTAATATCTGGTAACTCTTGTGACCTATGACACTGAAAGCCTTTGAAACACTGAGTGCAGTGACCCAGCACTGAGACACAAACCAGTGACTTTCTAACCCAGCCCAGGTTGCTTTTTAAACTGTGCTTAAGCACCTTTAAACACAACAAAGTTAAAGCATGCAAATGTGACTAAATTTTAACACAAAACAAAGGTCATCTGTGTTTCAAGAAATTCTGTCTCTGTTTCAGAGACAAAAAGTTTAAAATAGAAAATTCTTCATGTGTGACTGATCAACAAATTGCTCATCATATTAGTTAGTGCTTTAAAGATTCAGCTAAAACTGAGGTAACAAAATATGTTTTTGGACACATAATATTTGACCATAATAGAGTTTAGTATATTTTTGCTCAGTCAAGAGAGTTGTGTTTTTTAAACATTAGCCAAATTTTTGCTGTTTATTTATCAGCATGTGCTTGGAGGAAAAATGAAAGTCCTTTCTTCAGCTTAGGCTTAGTTGAAAATTGATGGTTGATACTTGAGGTGAAAATTGAATTAAAGTCAGAATTACCCACAAACCCAGAGTCAGTAACACTACTCAGGTTTCTGCAGGGCCCCTCTCCATCACACTGCTCCTGCAGGAAGCTGTGCTGCTGTGGTTAGGAGGAAAACAAAACTTTGTAAATATGCCATGCCTGTCACCAGGACTTATTAATTCATTTACAGCTACATTAATTGTAGCCATATGGCTCCTGCTGTCTTGCAGCACAGGTGGACAAAACTTAATGTCAGCAGAAGTTCACTTTTCCCTTAAAACTACAAAAATCAAGAACTCCTGATAAAATAACTCAAGTTGGACAAAGGTAATACAAAGAAGTATTTTCAGACAGGTCACAGAAGCAGTAATATTTCATTCAGTGCTACTGCATAGAATATGCCACAGAAAAATGACATTTTATAACTGATTCAGTCTTTTCAGCTGTAGCAATAAAACTGGAGTATCACTTCAGAGAAATGGATGAAGATGAAGTAACCATGAGGTTTGTGTATATTCACACAATCCTAGAATGGTTTGGGTTGGGAGAGACCTTAAAGATCATCCTGTTCCAACCCCTGCCATGAGCAGGGACACATTCCACTATTGTTGAAATTGCTGTAAATAAAGATAATGGTAAACTATTAGAGAAAAAAAAGTTATTGAAAAACTTCCAGTTCTTGCTATCAGGAGCCTATTCATATAAAAATATGTCTCCAAATTTAAGAAATTTAGGCTATCTTTAGCCTAAATATGCTCTAGGTTGTGCCTGTGTCCTGCCTGCAGTGCCTCAAGCCCGTGGTGCAAAGGCACAGACACAGCGCAAACTGCCTCAGCTGTGATCCCCAGCCCACCTGTGCTGATGTAAAACACAGACACAGCTCTGTGTGGATTTCAGAGCACATCAACTGCACATGGAGGCAACATACATGAAAAAATCTCCATTTACTGACACATCATCTCACTCAAATGACTCTTCATTTGCAAAAAAACCAATTAAAATATATACATTCACAGTTTACCTACCTCCCTGACCCAAATCCTCCTGCAGCAATTCAGATTTTCAGTGGAAGAACACAAACTCTGGGAGAAAAGCTATTCTGATTTCACTTGTTGTGATTTAAAAACCTCACTCCTCTATTTTGAGTCCTCAGCTATGAGGCATAGCTAGAAAAGGTGTAACTAGAGGTTTAGGGGACAGTTCTGCACATTAAAACAGCAAAAAAAACTTTTCAGAAAGGCTTGGTCAGTCAATATCCAAATGACACCAGCTGGCTTCACCTCTACAAGTCAGGTTCTAGGCACAACTAAGAATTAAGAGAATTGAGAAGAGGGTACTGAACCAAAAATCCTTACCCCAAACGAAACAAAAAACTCGGGGGTCTTCAAAAAGGGCAGTGTCCTGTTCAAATACAAAAGGGAGAGTAGATTTAACAGCCCTTGTTTTGGATTGTGTCTAGACTTGACAAAGCCATAAGTAACCTGCTCTGGCTTCACAGCTGACCCTACTCTGTGCAGGAGGTTGGACTAGAAACCTCCTGAGCTTTTAGGGCAGCCCAAACCATCCTGTGGTCCTATGAATGTGGAGAAATGAAAAAATCCATCCATGTGTGGGTAGAGTTCACTCTGAACAGAGAGGCAGGAACCATCCTGAGGCAATGTGGTATTTCTGCAGTGTCTGGGTTAGCAGTGAGAAACACAAAAGTGTTAAGCAATGAAAGTCTTCAAACATAAAATAATCTGTGAAAGGTCTAAAAAAACTCTCTGCAAGCACCCATGCTGAACAAATTCTTAAATTTGTGGATGTCCTATGCACAAAATGAGACTGACAGAGAACAAAGAGCAGTTGGTTCATTCCAGGATCTGTTTTCTCTGTAAAAATGAGGCAGGGATAGCAAAGGGTAAGGGGAAAAGGTGATACTCCAAGTTATGTGGGTAAGCTGAGCTCACTTCCACAAAGTAGCAACAGAGAGCACCAAAATCTGCTTACTGACAGCAAACACACATCTTCTGACACTGATGCTTGGAAAAAGGACTAAGGGGATACAAATGACATTCCAAGAAGATATGGAGGAAGTTGAAGCTCTAGGAAAGCACATTTCCAGACTAGTAAGAACACAAGCACAACCTTCAGCTTCCAATTCCTTCCCACAGGATTTGAAAACAAGAGATCTGCAGGATGAACCACAGGATCATCCCAGAGCACATGGCCCAGGATTGCACCCAGACCTGGGGGAGACCCTACAGAAAAAAGACCTGGTAACAATTCTCCTAAAAAGGCCTGGTAACAATTCTCCTGGTCTGACTATGATCCTTTGCCCTGCTGATTCAGGAACACCAACTGATGTTGTTGGAGAGCTTAACTGGGAAGAACAGAATCCCCAGAACAGAATCCCTCCAGCTGGATAGTAACAAGGGTTTGAAAGCTGGTTTACAGGCAATTTAGCAATTTATGAGTATCCTCAAAACTAAGTTTCAGGTGGATGCTGAAATACTTTTTAATACTAAAGCAGGAAGCCACCAATTAATTTAGAATGGGAATCATAATACCAAAGTAACAAGATAATCTAGACCATAGCTTAGTAAGAGCTGCTCAAATTGGAACAAGCATCCACTGCTCTTAATGAACTTCCTTTCTGGTCAAACTGATCTAATGCCTGTGCCACCCAGATTAACATTCTGTGCTCCTCTGGATGAACTCCAAACTCCTCTTGTGGAGTATTCAAGGCACTTCAAGTGAGTGCACAATGTGGAACATTGCCAGGACTGTAAGTGACCCTACAATCACTATCTGTGACCCTTCCTAATTTCTGTTATCTACTTAATTAGCCCACAGGCAGCATGGAACATTATTATATTCTCGAGAATTCATGAAGAATTATATTCTGCTGCTTTGGAGCTGTCAGTTGAAGCTCTGTCACAGAAACTGCAGTCTGGCTGAGTTCTACATGCCACATCTCAAAGGGGTAAAAGGAAAAAGAAATGAAACAGCTGCCCAATTTCCTTAGTGTAACAGGCCTGTGACTCTCAGATAGGACTTGAATTTGGCTCTTTAGTGTTGTGATGCTCAGTTCATGTCAGTTTAGCTCTGGCCCCGAGTTGATCCTACTGAGCAAACATTTACACCTTATTTGTTTGACTCTGCTCCACCCTTCTAGCACAGTCTAATTATCAGTATTAACAGCTTCTCCTTTCACATGAATGGTTGAATTAACATTAGGGTTAAAAAGGGAAGGACAGCATGAGCAGAAGATTGAACAAATGTGCACAACAGTGTTTCTTGCTACTAAACATACTTTTTAATCTCTACAAAAATATATATATGTGAGGAGGCAGAAAAACTGCCTGTCTACAACCTTCCCTGTGGCAAGCACCAATAATTCAAGCTGAAAAGAGACTGAAAGCCATGCTAGTTCACAACTTCAGAGAAGTTTGTGCTTACAGCCCCACACCAAATGAGAGCCTGTCAGAATGTCAGCTGTTCAGAGCTCCCAGCCTCCAGGACAGGCAGAGGACAAGCTGCACTCAGATTTCATTGGTATCCAGTAACAGAAAGTCACAGCTCACAATACGACCACAGGACAGGAGCTCAATGCCAAGGATTTTGGATTTTGCAATGTGGTTCCAGTTAAAGCCACTACTGACCTCAGCAGCCATGGAATCCTGGACATAAACAATTCCTCACCCACTTCAAGCAAAACCAGCCAGGTTTGTGCAGCCCATCAGCAAAGGAGAACACCACATAATCCAAAAGACTTTGTCACTAGAGCCACAACTGAAACCATAAACAGGTCAATGACAGGAAGGACTTTTTGAACACACCAGATCCAGCTACAACCAAAGCAAGCTGGATCTGAGAGTGTTTATATAGGACCAAAAGCACAGGGAACAGGCCAAGGCAAGCAGGATCTTTGGAAGACCAATCTTTGAAGGCTCACAGAAGCCACAGAATTGGAATTGGCTGAGGTTGGAAGGGACCTCTGGAGATGGTTTAATCCACCCCCCCTGCTCAAAGCAAGGTCAGGAAGGGCAGGTTCCTCAGGTCATGTCCAGCTGAGTTTGAATGTCTCCAAGGATGGAGACTCCACAACCCTCTGGGATTCCTTCTGCCCGAGAGATGGGGAGAAGGACTCTATGAGGCAGGATTTCAGGATCTATGGGGCAGACAGGATCTATGGAGCATAGGGAATCTATAGGGCAGGATCTATAGGACAGGATCTGTAGGGCAGGATCTATGGGGCAGTAGGAATCTATGAGGCAGGATTTCAGGATCTATGGGGCTCAGGGGATCTATAGGGCAGGATTCAATCACCCTCACAGTAAAAAATGTTTAATGGAGCCTCCTGTGCTTCATACCCATTCCTGGGTAAGTTCATTCCCATTTCCTCTTGCCCTGATGAGTCAGTCTGTCTTTTTCCCCTATTAGGACTTTTTGCTGAATTCCATGAGGTTCCCATTTTTCTGCTTGTCCAAAAGCAATGAAGTATCCCTGAATGGTGGCAGAGCCATGTGTGCATCAGCCCCCTCTCCCAGTTTTGCAGCACCTGCAGCCCAGATGAGGGCTCAGCCTGCCCCATCAGCCCAGCCAGCAATGGGGATGTTACACAGTTCTGGTTCCACAATCAGTCCCTGGAGAACAGCACTTATGGGAGCCCTCAACGGGATTTCCTGCTGCTGACCAGAACCCCTTGAGCCCAGGGGTTCACTCATTTTTCAGTCCACCTCACTGCTCATTTATCTCATCCCTGTCTTGTCAGTTTGTCTATGAGAACATTGCAAGAGACCTCAAAAATCAAGATAAACCACCAGAACTGTTCTTTCCTCATCCACTGAGCCACAGCTACCACATTCCAGCTATTAGACCTCAGATGTGCTTCTGAAATTAGAGAAATATGGATTAGAGAAATATGGGAAAACAGTGATTTTGTGTTGGATTCTGAGAGTTACAAATGAAGAAAATAACCTGAGACTTAACAAGTCAGCAGACTTGCTTCATGCAGAACAGAACTAACTCTCATTTTTGAGTAAAATATTGAAGGCAGGTATATTCAAAACAGAGAAATCACAGCTTCATCACAGGAATGACTTTCAGAAAGCTTAAAGGAATTAATGACATGAAAGAAAAAATTATATATGGTAAAGACTTTCTAAGATCATCTTTTAACAGCTCTTCCCTCACATCAACTAGGTGAAGCATGATTTAAATAAAATTGGAGAAAAATTACCTCAATTACGTGTTTTTGATAAATATGTTAAACACCCAACACTCTAAAATTAATTTGCAGAGTCAGTCTGGCTATGGAAAAGATTTATTTCTGTTTTTCTCCAATACATTCATGTCAGCTGAGAACAGGAAACAACTGCGAAGAGCCCAAAGTAAATTAACAGATAAAAGGGAAAAGGGGTCAGAAGAAATTTCAAAAAATGTTTTTAATCATTAACATAAAGAAGAATCTCTCACAGGCAGAAAAATGTGAGGAGAAACTACAAGGACCAGTTGAGATCAGAAATTAGGAAGAAGCTACAAATGTGATGGTTGTTTCAGAAATGAAAGAAACAGCCAATACTTACCAAAGTATCAGTTTCTGGATCTTCACAGAAAAAGGGTTTTCCTTCCTTCTCCTGCTTCCTCACGAAGTTTTCAATATCTACATCAAAACTGGCAGAAGTTGTGCCTTCTGAGCCTTGTGTAGATTGTTCACATTTTTCAAATAATAGTGCTAACAAGGGAAATAGTGGGTGCCTAGAAAAAAAAAATGTTTAAATACATGAATAAGTATTTTCACTTATGTGAAAATTAAGACATCTAGCTCAGAAAAGCTCACAGTCACTCATGTGAATGTGACAAGTTCTGGAACAGACTGCATATAACAGCATTGGCTAGAGCAAAATAAGATAAAAATTTATTTTCATTTTGATTTACCCCACTCCAGAGGCAAATACAGCAAAAAATATGTATATATTTAATTAAAGAGAACAATCACAAGCAAAAAAAGCTCTGACTGTTTAATTCACTGTAATTGAGTGGCACTGAGACAGATTAATACAGTGCACTAGAAATGAGATTTAGGATTTACAAAGAGGATGAATGCAGATTTAAATGAAGCCTGATAAAATGAATTTATTCTTCAATGTGGGCCATACTTACACATCATGAAATAACTTTAAAAAATTGAGAAGAATATTCAGGCTGTGCTCAGAGGCCTCCTGTGAAATCATGCTCTGAGGAGAAGATTTTGTTAGCACAAGTCTGTAAATGAATGGATACATATTTCTGCCTCAGGTTGAGGTTTTTTTGGTGTTTTGTTTGGCTTTTCCTGTTTTGGTGGTTGTTTTTTTTTTTTTTTTACCTTGAAAACCAGTAATAATTCTGTCTTTATAAAGTAGTTAAGCTGAAAGAACACTCAACCCCATGAAAACTGAGCATATTGCTTAACACAGCACTTTGCACTGAAAAATCTCAAATTAGTGTGCTCGTACATCAATATTTAATCCATTTTCAGCTAATTACTGGGGAATAGATTGTTATCCCTAAAGAAAAAGAAGTAAAGATTGACCTAATTACAATAAAAGTAAAAACCTGTATTAAAGATAAAAACAATATGACAAATAGTGACCATAGTTTAAAGGCTAAAATAGCTTTCTAAATTTGGCAACCACTCTTAGAATACCCTTTAAAACTGCTGAAATTAAAAATCCCACAGGCTCAGGAGGTTTCTCCTTGGCTGATGATGCCAGTGGAGCCTATTTGGTCTCACTCTTTCCCTACAAACGATGGAGACAGCCAAGAAATCACCTGATTTTAAGCTACTTATTATTTATTTATTAAAAACCCCCAAATCCTCTATCTTATCCTTCACCCTTCAAAAGACAGAACAGGAGTCCATCACTACCTGTAAATGGCCTGCTTGTCTGCATCCATTGGAGTCTGAGATTCTACGGGGGCAGGACTCACCCCTTCAGCATCAGTTTCAGAGCAGTTGGGATCTTGTTCAGTTTTTAACTCTGTTACCACTTGCATCTGAGGGAAAAAAAAAAAAAAAAAAGAAGTAAATTTGTAGCCCTGACGTAAAATAAGGGTGCTGTGTTCTAAGGAAAGAGCAGTGCAAAGGGCTCCTAGATTGCCAGAAGGTTGGTGTGACTTGGCAGTGACACAAGAAGTTGTAGCAGCAACAAAACCCCTCTTTTAATCCCTGACACTTTTTGATGGATAAAGGTCATTTCCAAGTTTTAGCATTTGGCTTTAAAATGGGAATGATAGATATTAGTAAATTGTTGAAGCATTTTGTCTCTGAAGTGGCTGTTTTTGGAATAGCCTAGAGTACATTGCTCCAAAAAGTTCATGGGAATGTCTGCATAAAAATCCTTTAGGATGAAATCAATGCAAAGAAAAGTTTATGCTGTTAAGATTTATTTTTTTTTTATTTTTTACTGTGCATTGTATAAGGGTACTGAAGAAAAGGATCTTCTAGTTTTTTTGTCCGTTAAAACGAACATTTGAAATATTCTGTGTCCCTCCAGTCCTTCAATTATAGGAGCAAAACCTCCCATGACCTTTAGCACTCCATTTTACATATTGCAAGAACCAAATATTTTAGGGCTGTCAAACTACAGGAGAACAGCAGTAACTCCTCCTACACATCCATTTAACCCACATTTATACCATGGAAAAGCACCACAGAGCCACAGCTTCACCTGAGCACCTCCTAAATTGCATTAGGAGGCTGGGCACACCTTTAGGGTGCTTTGAAGGTGTTCCAAGTGTTTTTTCCATCACCTCCAGCTAAATATCTTTTGGACTAAAAGGTCTTCCAGGAACCTGAACTGTGAAAGTCACAGTTTCCACCCCTCAGCCCAAACTCTCTGGTTTTCCCCCATTTGAGCCTCTGCACAAAGACATAAAACCACTGCAATCTTTTCTCTTCATTCTCTTTTATCTCAGGTAGAGGACAGACACTGTTCTAGGGACCTCCAGGCAGCCAGAACTGACAGCTCCAGAAACTGTGAGAGAACCTGACTTTAACAGAAATTAATTTATTTCCACATAACAGCGGCAGAAAAAATTATAGTATTTTTAACAGTTTAGGTGAACTAGATTTGCAATTTATTACCTACTGGGGCCAAGCCACCTCCTAGAAAAATCAGAAACTGAGAAAATTCAGCATCTCCCACCCAAGAGAGAAGCCTGCCTTGCAGAGAGCTCCCTCAGCAAGCAGAGATGATTTTCAAGCCAGAATGCTTAAAAAAAAAAAAAAAAAAAGAAAAAGTAACTAATGGACTAATTTCTTGGCTAATGACAGGAAGGAGGAGCAAATTAGAAGGAGATGACTCAGACAAGTGATTATAAATGTTGGCCATAAATCTGCAGAGTTTGAAGGGAGGGAGAGTGTTCAGTGAGGGTTCTATTGCCCTAGGAGGAGGGAACAGCTCACTTTAAACTGAAAGGTTTTTTTTGTGGGCCATTTCCAAACTAGAAAAAACAGCAGGTACCCAAATTCCCTGTCTATCTTGGACACTGAGAACTTGAAATACACAAGAAATAGGAAGAAAAAGCTCTCTCCCAATCCGTTCTTTAGAAAAAACCATATTTTACTTTCACTGCCAGAGGATGGTATTTACTAGGAGAATAAAGTCAAATATGTAAAGTAGGCGAGAGGAGAGAGAGAAATTAGAATTGCAATAAAAGAAACAAACGATAAAACTAAAAATCAAAAATCTGACTGCATTCAGATGAACATTTTATAGAAGATGTGGAAAGTTGCTGGTTTTTTTCTGACTGTTCTCCATTGTTGCCATCTGCTGACAGAAGTATTTGCAGTTATTGTTCAGGGCTGACACAGAGTAACAGAAAAATTGATCTTCAGAACAGGGGCCACCCCACAAACTGCCTCCAGTTAACAGCATTTTAATTTAGCAATTTAAAGTGTAAAATTACACAGCCTGTTGTACAAAAAAGAAACATGACCAGACATACATGACTACGTTTCATTATTCCAGCTTAAACAATGCCAAAGCAGGCAATAAGAAAAATCACTAAGTTTTTCCCCTCTTCCTAAGTATATTTAGTTCCTAGAGAAATGAAAACACACCTACCTGTTGTCCATCTTGATAGTTGTCTATACTTAATGTCTGTGTTGCCATCATGGTTAGTGAGACATTAATTGTGTCAAATCATCATAAGTGTGAACAAATAGCCTTTAAAGAAAAACAAACAGTCAGTTAAAAAGGGGCCACTTAGAATCCAGTTCTAAAGGGTGAAGAAAAAATAAAGGTAGAAATTCAGATTTATGCACACCTCTCAGAGAGTTTATTGGCAACAACAGCCACATGCAAATTCAAACAAAAAATTAATTCAGTTTGGAAATATAACAGGTTTTATAAGCAAAAAGTTCATTGTCTCTTTTTATATTGTCAAGTAAAATTTTTTAGTAAGAGGCTGAGGATTTTTTATACTCACAAGCTCAAGTGAATTTTAGCATTAATTTCTCTACTACTGAACTGACATTCTAAGGTCATACATGAAATCTAGAAATGGGCAGGTTTGTGTTTCTGTGTTTTTAAAAGGCTCCCAACCCACGGAGCATCACTGTAACTGAAATAATAACAGTTAAAAATTATGAACCAAATGCAAAATGTTAAGGAATATCCTGTTCACTTTTGGGTGTGAATCCCAGATCCTAAAGTAGAGCAGAAACTACTTTGAGAGACCAAGCCTCAAATCACTTCTGACACCAGGAATTTGCCATCCAAGTCATTTAAGGTTCAACAAAGAATGGAACAATATCAAACAAATTTTAAACAATTGGGCCCATGTAATTATAAAGTTTCAAAAGGAATCTAGGAATTCAAAAGTCTCAATTTCAAAAACATTTAATACTTTAGGAAATATTAATTACAATAGGATTTAAACATAAGTAAATGCATCAAATTATTCTCTCTAAGCATTAGCTGGAGTTTGGTGCCCAGATGAGTTAAACATTTTTAAATTAAGACATACCATAATTAAAAAAAATAAATTAGCAAAGCACCACCACCAGACAGAGTGTAGCCAACAAATTATTACTTCACATTTCATTTTCTTGTCAGATGTGCAGCCATTACAACTGAAATCACGTAACTCATTAAGCTATTACCAGTAACTATTAACACAGAAGTCAATTTTCCTTGACACACAGGAGTTCTAATGTTTAGCTACTATTAAAAAAATCCTCATTAAAAAAGAAGTCAGAGCTCATGTCTTGAAAAACATTATATCCAGGTAATAATTCCAGGCTTTTCGCTCTTTGTCACTTATGTCAGTATTGAAGAATTAAGTTTTAAAATTTTCACCACCTTAAGATCTGAAATAGAATATTTTTCTTTCAATGTGTTCAATCACTACAAATTTTTCAAGTATTTTAAGTCCTTCCCTTATTGCATACTACTACTGCATATGCCCATTTTTAAGAGCAATTTTTACATTTCTGGATATTTTCCCCTACAGATTATAACAGTCTCAAGTGAGTGTTTCATTTTGCAAACACAGGACAAATTTCAAGGTTCCCTTTTTTGACAACAGTTCCAGGCACAGAGACAAACCAAACTCCTCAGGAGAAACCTCAAGCCTCACTTTGCATCAAATTCACTCAGTGTAATTCCTAAATATGAGTGCAATTTTTAAAATCTTTTTTAAACTGCTTCAAAGACCAGAGAAGTTCACTAAGATGATGGAAGCTTGGTTTCCTCTAAAAACTAGGTTATATCTGTTTTTACAGAACATCAGTATTCTTTCTTTGAAACTCCAAAAACATTACTGATTTCTCCACCAAAATTAAAAATACAAAGTGAACAACCAAAGTGCACTCATTGATAGAAGTACTTCATATTTTAAACTTTTTTTACAGTTACAAATCATTTAGTGTTGAAAGTTAAATCAGCATTTGCCATAATAAGTGAGACACCTCTCAAAATCCTTTAAGGGATCACATTCTGAAGCATCAGCCCTGTAGGCATTTGTCTGATGTTTAAACATTTGTTTTCTTTCATAAATGGCAGCTGACAGCCAATGCAAGTGCCTGTCTCTATTGACAGAGTTTACAGACACATAGAAAATGCTGCTTTTCTTGCTTCTCAAAAGACAGACATTTAATTTATGACTGTGACATCCAAAGCATGGACCAGACTACCCTCAAAATAAAAGCAGAACAGTTGAAATGATCAAAAAAGAAAGCACAAACACTATTTAATGATTATTTTAAAGCTAAGAAAAGGACAGAAAACACTGCTAAAGAAATTGTTTAACTGTGAAAGATGAAATTCTTAGGCAAAAATGAGAAAATGAAAGTACAAGTTGTAGAGGAGCAAGAAAGCCTTAAGAGTTCACAGGGATGTAAAATCATATTTGTGGCATGAAGAAAAACCTGGAGAGGGAGGCCACAAAGATAATACATGTAAATTGGTAAAGACAGTAGGACATGGCAAGAATTTTTGGAGAACAAGACAAGCTGGACTAACCCCTCCTTCCAGATTTCCATAATGAAGAGACGTTCCACATCTGGAAGGCCCTCAGGCCACACAAAAGAAGAAAGGAGGTGCACAGCTTTGAGCTAGATCCATAAATTATTGCATCTAGAAGGACTTTTGCCATATTTTCTCCCAGGGGAATGACTGGAAAGCATTCTACATGGGTATTTCCTTTATTTCCCATAAGAGCTTCCCCTCTGACTTATAATTACAGTAGAAAAAGATTAAGCTATTAGGCAAGATAGGAACTGATGAGATTTAGTGAAGACAACCACTGCAAATCAAGAAGAACAAATTGAGCTAATCACACCCTTAAATCGAGGCAATTAACTGAGGAATTACTTCTGCTCACTAAAAAGAAACATTTCCTCATTACTCAGTAGAGACAAGAAACAAAGTGAGTTAAACTTGAAGGAAAGTAACTGAGAAGGTATTTACAGATTTGGTTTTCCTGGCCTCATTTGGGATGCAGCACCAGGCTCGTCAGCAGGCCCAGCCCCAGCAGATGCTCAGGCTGCTATCGCTCCCAGATGTTTATCAGTGCCACAGCTAATTACTAACACAGCTCCTCCACCGAGCTCACACAACACGTGTGGCTGTTTCTGATGCTTTTTACACCCAGTCACAGGCTGGTTCAGCCTCTCCCTGCTGAAGGTGGCTGTGATGGAAAGCAGCTGACGTGGTCTGAAGCTGTTGTGGTGCTCTCCAAGGAGCCCTGCTCTTGGCTGACCTGCTCTGTGTGTCCATCCTCAGCTCCCAGACCACCTCCAACCTACCAACTCTGCCTCAGCACACAGAGTGTTTGGGTATCTGAGGTGAACCCAAGAATAAATTACTTCTGAATCTCTTAGCTTTCAAAATACCAATTATTCTTTATGAGACAAATCGAGAGCACAAGGGAAAATGTGTGTTTTAATTTTATATTCAAAGATTTACAAATAACAAAAATAACCTGAGGGTGAGTCTGCTGGTCAGCTTCAAACAGAACAGAACTAACTCTCATTCTATTTATTTTGAAAGTAAAATGTGTAGAAAACCCAAGGTCATGTAACTGGAAGCTGATGCACGACCTGCAGTCAGAAACTCCACTGATACCTGTGGTGAAAGGGAATTCATAAAAGAGCATGGTCTACAAAGCAAAAGGAAAAAAAAAAGAGAGGTCTTTTATAAAATAAAGTATGAAGGAAAATGCAAAGCAGAAAGGAAGCTAAATGAAGAGGGTAATCATAATTAGAAATGTGGAGAGCTTGTGCAAGTCGAGTATGTAAGTGAAGAGATTATATGTGAGCTGAAACATACACACAAAGTGATCACTTGACATTCATCAGTCCACTCCTGGCTCGTTCCACTTACTCCCCCATAATTAAGGGCACAGGGACCACCCAGTAACGTTAACAGAAGGTACAAGGGAGCTGCTGGAGATCAGTGGTATCATTTTTAACATATACAGGCTACAACAGATGTTTGGAAGAGATATAAATAGTTACGCTTCGGGCTACGACCTAACCACCAGCCCTCTTAGGGTTGTGAGGGAACTGCCCAACAGACTTGTTAACAAGTAATCATTCCTTCTCATTTTCCTTCATACATGTTTCTTTGAAGTCCTTCAGAGAGAAATGCATGACTGGCAGATTCAGCATGGCTCTTTGTTCATTCTTATTTAACTTTAGTCCTGGCACTTGTTATGTAACATTAGATGCTTACGTTCACACAGCAAGTTAAAAAGAAACAAAAATCAATTCTCTCTGACACATGAAAAGCAACAAGAACTGGCTTCCTTTTCAACACAATACAGGATGATGTTTATTTCCAGGGCAGCTGTTTTCTAAAGAAGATAAAATATTGGCCATGAGAAAGCTGCTCACCCCTTTCCTTCAATGAGTTGAAGACATTTTCTTGTTCCAGCACAGAGATCCCACTTATGTACAAGGTGGAAGACAGAAACCTAAAAACCAACAGAGAAATAGTCAGAAGAAAATAACACCTTAGAACAAGCATTCTAAGACTCAATATGATTTTTTTTTAATTGTTTTATTATGTGGTTCCCTCATCAAGTGTTAATGAACAGACAGGAATTTTTTACACATTTTGCAAATCTTTGCATTTTTAATAATCTCTAATCACAACCATTATCCCACGCTTGAACTTCTTATCCCATTATTTGATCTTTCTCTCATCTTATTCCATTCATTCTCTACATTCACCTTTGTTGACACCTCTAACAGAAGGCTCCATTTGGATAATAACTCCCTCACTGTTAAATTTTCATATTTTACTCCTTGGCTCGGTGTCTGTCTGCCAAGACTAGACAAGACACATCCCAAAAATAACACCATGAAATGCAAATAGGAGTAACCCACCACTGTTGTGAAAATTAGCATGAAATCAAGAAAGGTGAGAGATTTTTTTCCTCCCCATTTAAATCTCCATCATCATCATTTGAATCCAATCCATGATAAAATCAAAGCATGATGCTAGAAATGTGCCATTGTTAGGATCCTGTCTTCTGTGAGGACAGGTTCTGCTACAGGATTATTTGGCCATTTTAAAAAGTTTTCCAAAAATTATGACTTAAAATCACTTTAATTACATTTAATAGCACTCATTTGATACAGTGAAGCTACTTTTAAAAAGTAGTAAGGATTGTGAAAGCAAAGTAGCAAAGATTGTGAAAACATATTTAGAAAACACAACTGCTGGAAAGCATTAAAAAACCATCTCAGGAGAAGTTCCAGACACTAAGGTTGCACAGAGGCCACCAGAAATTAAATGATGGCTAAAACACAGCTGAGATCTTGAATCTGATTATCTCTGTTTCTCACATAGATAGTTCACAATAAGAACTAGAGAGAAGTAACTCCAACATTTTTGAAAGTAAAATGAAATTGGTCTTTCAATTGATCTTTAATTTAATTAAAATTTATGCACGTGTTGTTTTCCAAGAAGTGATGTTTTTCAGACAAGTTTACAGAAAAACAAAATGTGAAGGGCCACTCAATCCAGATGCCACCTCTGGTTCATGAAACCTGGTTCTAAACAGGGCAGGGAAGGTATGTGAGGAGTTTTAAAGCAGTTCAAGTTTCAGACATTGGTTAGAGACTGAACACTGAGCAAGAAGGAGTTGCAGCCCAAAGTGACAAACCTGGTCCTGAAGGTTCAAGGAGCAGATGGCACACTAAAAGTTCTTACCACTTTTCCTTAAACTGTCAAAGATCTATGTCTTCAGAAAATGGGCTTCTCTCATTTTTGCAGCTTCTTAAGTCTGTTCTGAGGACAGTGTAACCCTCTTACTCCCTTCCTCACATGCCATGCATTTTGGTACTCATTCTCACTTCAATTTACTGGGCTACTTTCAAATAAATGACTTCTCACTATTCATGGCATCATCAGAACAGAGGTCACTGACAGATAAATCAGGATTGATAAATGGATGAATTATCCATTCCTTGTCTCTGCTCAGACATGAGGAGAACTACTGAAAATCTGAAAATCCTGCTCCTGCATTCAGAAATAACTGCAGCCAAGAACTGCTGCCAGATCTGGTCACACAATATTCAGTGTATGAAGAAGTAGCCCTTGCCTGCAAAGCCTTCAGCTGAAACTCTGGGAAAAGCAAATTTCCAGGCAGTTTATGAGATATCCAGTGCAGGAACAGAGAGGTGCTAAAGAAATGCAGGTCTGGGTGAAAGCTGCTGCAGAGGGAAGGATGTGGCTGAGAAGAGCCAGAGGATGTTGCAGTGATATTGCCCATTTCAAAGAGACACTGGGCAACATTTAATACTGCTAAACCCCAAAACATATCAGACAAGAGATCTTAGCTTGCAGATGATGATGTCTTGCACATTTCAGTGGGAAAAGGAAGAGGGAGCAGATACACCTGTTACAGGGTGGAGACAACACCCAGGCACTGTGGAGTCTTCACCTGGACTTGCTATTGCCAATTTTTGTTTTCCTTTAATTCCTATGGCACACAAGCTTTAAAGTAACGCCAATCATAATAAAAATACCTAACTATGAAACCAAAACAAAAGGCAACTTGCTTTGTCTCTCAGAAGGTGAATCAGCACTGAGATTTTAACTACAAAGTCAAATAGGAACTTGTTCATTCAAGCACTGAAGAGCCCTTGTTTGAGTCACCCTCTCATTCTGCATTTCAGATCACAGGAAGCAAACACCTGTGAGCACATTCACATGAACAAATATCAGCAGACATTAAGATCCATATATTTTTATAGATTCAAATAATGATGGCAATAATTGATTCAAATAATGAAGCAGTAAGTAGAGCACATGTGCCAACATCCAGGATTCATTCCACCTTTGCTGCAGTTCATCTCCATCTCCACTGACCTGCCCACGCACAGTCATTCACAGAAATTAAGACAAACAAATCAATATGAAGTTGATGCAGACAAGTTTATTAAAAATGTGCTCAATTAGAATGTTCTCATTCAGCACCCAAGGTGGTTTCCATTTCCTCTGTCTCATGTACTTAAAAAGTACAGTCATTATTTAGAATATTATACTTTTAAGAAAGACAATGTTCCTGTTCAGGAACATAACACCAGCCTCAGGGATTCCATCCCGCAGACACAGCCACTCAGTTACTCTTCAACAGCTATGCTGGCAATTGCCCTGGGAGTCAAGCCCTAAAAAGCCACAAAACCAATTTTGGGCTGCAGTAAAATGAGATTTATTCTGTGTCACTTTGTTCCCTTTATTGTTTGGTGGTGCAATACAGTTATTTATATGTTAATCTTGATGAATATGAGATTACATTAAAAAAAAGGAATGCAAATTATACTTTTAAGAAATGGAAAATTAAAAATAAATTAAAATCCACAACTAAAGTTGAATTTCTGCAGAAATACAGGCTACACCCCAAGCTACCATCAACCTTTCTTTACATGTAGGATTTTGAACATTGATGCTATATAATAGTGACTTTATTCAGCAAGGCCTCTCCAACAGTGCATCCACTGCTTTGTTATCCCATTAATCTTTCCTAGCATCCTCTTTTCACATCCCTCCATCTCAGATCTTAACAATCCATACAAAATATTCACACCACAGGCCACCTCCCAAGCACCAGCACACACTGTCACACAGCATGACCAACAACAAACCATCTCATTACAAGATTTGTGCTCCTTTAGCAACTCACTCTGTGTTTAATTTAATTCTATAAATTCTCCTATTTGCAAGTACCAAATTATAATATATATATATAAAAAATGTGCCACTTTATAAGCTAAAATTGCATATGCTGTTAACTGATAAAATGAATATTAAGGATGCACAGATCATAGGGATTTCTCCAGGCACAACAATATAAATAAAACTTAGGGGATCTTGGAGTGAAGAACTCCAGGTTCTGATTCTGCACACATCCTTGGTGGGTACACCAGCATACTTCTAGGGAAAGGTGCAAAAACATGGCTCACATTCCTGATTCCATGTCATCACCAATTTACCACAGTCATTTTAAACAAGGATGAGAAAGATGAGGAATTCTACTCAATCCAGTCATAAAATGATGTATGCCAGGGACCCTGCACTCAGGCAGCTCTTGAAATTCTGGAAGGAAATCCTCAGGTTGCTCTCCTACCTTCTGCAAAATGGAATCCTCATTGTTCTGACTATGGAAAGATCCTCAAATTCAAGGAACTTCCTGCAGCATCTCACTTCTCCTACCCAATTCACACTGCAATTTGACCCTGCTTTATTAGCCCCATAAAGAAATAGTAAGGAATTTAGGGGACTAAACAGCAATTTTGGCCAGAGAAAAACAAAACTTGGGGGAAAGGAAACCTCCCTCTTTAATTGTTCCAAGACTCTTGAGGGATTAGGGTATGAGGGAGCAAAAATATTTTCCATCACTCTCATCCACCATCAATATTCACATAATAAATGAAGATTCCCTTTTTTTTCTCTATTCTTAAGACTACAAACAGAAGGACTTTATGGGTGCAGCATGAGAATCCTCACACTCACATCATGAATCCTCACACATATTTATTGTTACAGGACAGAGAAGGAGGTTTTGCCCTCAGTTTTTACCCAATGTGCTTTCAGAACATGTTGGACCCAAAAATCAGGAAGATGGTGTCACATCTGCCTTGCTGCTCTTGTGACAGGAGGGTGGCATTGGAAAGATTACAAACACTCCTTACATCCCAGAGGATGTGTATCAGCACTTCCACAGCTGGAACCGATCCTGTACAGCTTACTGATATTTAATTACTTTTTCAAACCAAATTTCATTTTAAAAAGACAAAAACAACTCAATAAACAGGAAAAAAAAGGTGAGAACTCCACCAGTCTCATCATTTCTCTGGCATTCCCCACATGGATAAACAGGATTGCTTATGCCCCAGACACAAATCCATCCCTCTGCCACTGAAGCCTTTCGAGAATCCACACGAGCACACATCTCAAATTTCCTAATTTTGGAGACACTCACGCAACCATCTCCTTCCAGGCAAATTAATCCAAAGCAACAGGAAATCCTACTTTAATCATGATTTGCATCAGCACCCAATAAACTATGAGTGAAACGAATCTTGTTTTGTGTTTATATTTTGTGGTTTCATAAGGAAGACACAGAATAACCACCAGTCTCTCTGCCTTTATTGCTATTGAATACTTTACAATGTGAGCATTTTGTGTAAGCACATGTTATGTTTTCCAGCCTTTTTATGATAAAACCATGAAAGTTTCCAATTATTCTATGAAGGGTGAATTCCTGATGCTATTGAAGGGTGAAAAGGAGTTTTTATTTAAATAATAAATGCATTTAAAATGGACTTTGGATGTTGAATGGATAAGAAAATGCCCTCTACACATTTTTAGCATTTAAACAATTCATCAAGATCAAGATGTTCCCTTACCATTATTTAATTTTTATATCTTTAATGATTTCTTGAATAACAACCCCATTAATGAATCAAGCATTAACTTGGACCTGAAACTGACAGAAAATCCTGGCCCTGCAATGCTCTGTGAAATCCAATTCCAATCCATCACAAACTTCTCCAGAATCTTCCCTGTTCTGACTCCAACATTTGGCCAAACCTGAACAATTAGCTTTGTTTTGCTACTGAGTTTAGGTGTTAAAACGAACTGTTATTTTCTTTTTAAAATGAGGATGAAATAAAAACTCTTCCTTTCCTGCTCCACTCTTGCTTCCCACCTCTCCCAAACACAAATCTCCATCCTCCCAGGAGTTATGACTGCTGCCCAAGTGTTCTGGGGTAAAAAAAACACAATTTAGGGTTAAACTTACCCATCACCTGCTGCTGTGAGCTGCATCATGCTGAACTGCTTGGCCCAGGTGATGCCTGCACAGGCAGGTGACATGCAAGGACCAACAGATAGGAGGACACTCACAGAATATTCAGGTAATTTAGATTATAAATATTTGCCCAGTACCATCTAAAGCAGGTTTTCCAAGAGGTTTTGGTCTGTTGGAGGTTCTCAATGAGCAGCCAAATGCTCCGTGTGAATGCATATAATCCTTTCCCTTCTACAACACTAAAATCCACAACTCAGCTGCTGATATGCTCTTAAATAAGAAGAATCCTGCCTTTCTTATAAATGAACATATTTACTTAGAGTCACTCTCAAGATGCTGAGTCATTTTTAAGTTGGCAGAATAACCCTGCTCAAACATATTCATTGTGGCAAATTTCAGTAGGAATAAGAATAAAGCTACTGAAATCAACACCTCAAAATAACAATAATAATAATAATAAAGATAACCAGGTAAACTTCCTTCTAGTATTGCTACTATCATGGTCTAGACCACATAAAACATAAATTAAGTGATCACAGACTGACCCAAAAGTTCTTTAGTTATAAAATCATACAACACAGCACATACATTTTCATGCCCCTGTTCTCTAGGCGTGTCAAAAACATGTAAAGATCCAATTTCTGTTCTTTAATTGCCTCTGTTTCCTTGGAATATAAAAGGCTTGGGGGTTTATTTTTCAGCAAGTATGATAATATCCTTTTCCCTTTGCTTTGTTTGCTGTGTAACTCATAAAAAGCCAAGCAGGATGTGAAGTACAGCCACACTTCCTAGCTTCTTCTGCCATCAAGAAAAAACGCAGGCAATTCCAAAACCTCGCCAATAAAATAAAAATTGGAATTTGGAGGTTTAAAAGAAATGGATCCCTCTTACACTATACCAGAAGTAAACGGCCATATTCTACTTTTTGCTTGAATTTCCCATTAGCTGCAAGGAGAGCTGCAGATCCCTGGGCACAGCAGGGTGAGGGACAGTCTGTGATCATCACACTCAGCTCCCATTTTCAAAAATCACCTTTTGACTCTCTGTGTACTTAAACAGCCCTCAGGTTTAACAGCAAATACCTCTTTGGTACACCAAGGTACTAAAAAATGAGAACAGCACGGCCTGGAGCAGCTGCCACATCAAACCCCAAACACTGTGTTCCTGTGGAGGATGAGAACCAACCATGCCAGCACAAGATCTGAATTTTATTTCCATTTTTAGCACCCACATTTGCCTTCCAGTGCTATACATGATGTGGGATCCCCTCAGTGCTGGCAGGGGAACCAAGTTACTGCCCCTCAGCAGTTTGATAAAAATGTGCCATAACAACAAAACTGGCATTTCCAGGTCCACTGTGCCATTATTATATTTTCCACCCCACCCCTGATCTACCTGGTGAATCCCATGTCCCACAGTTCTGGCATGAAACCACCTCACAGTGAGCAAAGTGAACAACCTGCCACAAGTGTGAATATTTCACTGTTCAACTCCCTTGGAGACATCTAAAATGGCCTGGGTAAAAGATTCTGGCAACATCTGTCCTCAAGTAAGCAAATGAAAGAACTCCATCAGCAGCTTTTTCTCCTTGCTCTTGGAATCCTCTTGCTTAGAGCAGTAAGTTGTTTTACATTTTGTACAGCACTGAGCTGTAGCAAAATAAACCCCACTGAGACTTCTAATTTTTAAACCTACAGACTCTTTGAACAAGTGAGAAGTGAAGTAACCAGCTGCTGCTGCTGCTGCAAGACAAGTAACATTTGCAACATTTTTAATTTCACACACAAAAAAATTGCATTTGGTCTTACTTAGACCAAAATAAAAATATTAATCTGCTTTACTGTAAGCTTTCACATATGTGCCAGTTTTGCAGAGGGAACATTTGGCTGCCAGACCACAACATAACATTCTGAAATACAATTTGGGCTGCTCCTCTCAGGACATTGCCATGGCCATTAGAACAGGCCGTTCCAGTGGCACAGTGGTGGCTCTGTGATCAGCCACCCTCGGTCACTAACACAGGGTTTCATTCCACCAAAGAATTCCTCTTTTCCAGGAAACTGAACTGCCCCTGAACACTCCCAAACTTGCTGTGGTAGCAATCAGAATTATCAGGGATTTATTAGAGCACTGCATTTACAGAATAGAAAAATACAGTGGGAAAGCTTGGAAAAAATGCAGTTGAAAAATTCTGAAGAAGAAATTACAGCTTCCAGAAGACTTACCATTTTATAAGACTAAAGCACTTAAAATAAATTAAATTTATATTTAATTTATTCTAAACTCCTTTCAGTCCTATCATGGAAAATTACAAGGATTTAGCTTTAAAATGTTATTTTTATTTAACCCAAATATTATAAATTGTATTAAGAGTACAAGTCAAAGCTGTAAGTACTTAATACCAGCTTGACTTTTTACATGCCAAAGTGAAATTCCAAATACAAAACAAAATCCCCACCAACCCTAAGAACAACAACAATGTACTTAAAATGTGATGAATTCTTGGGTTTTCTATGAGCACATGGGAAATGGTAACAAGAAAAAATTTCAGAAAAACACATTTAAAAAAATGCATGGCCAAAATCCACTGGGGAGATCAATGAGAAATGATCTGAGCCTCCAAAATCTCAGACTTTCACTTTTTACCCTGTGACTTTCCCTTTTTACTCTGTTATTTTCCCTATTTACCCTGTGCCTGCAGCACACTGAGCTCTGCCCTTCACCACTGAACTGGAGATCATGTAAAGAAAACACAGTAAAAGCTACACTGAAGTTTTCCTGTGGATACTTTAATTATGAGATGATAAGAAAATATATCAAGTGGTGACAGTGAAAAAAATATACTCTATAGTTCATAAAATAAACTGAAGATAGAACATTTGTGAGGAAAATAATTATTTTGAATAGATTATGTGAAGTGTTTGGGGTTTTTTTTCCATCAGAAATTTTCGAAAATTCGAATGTAATGATTCTGTATGTGATTACACACACTCAGAAAAGGATAAATCTGCAATTTTACTTGACAGAAAATGCACTCAAAATGCATTTGATACTGTAGCAATGACAGAGCCTGGAAATCCATGTAAGGATGGATTTCTGATACAATCACATCTTGTTTCCTGGTTGAGTGTAATCCATAAAATTCCCACATGGAGCTAACAGGGGCTGACCAGGGCTCCATCCAGCTGCAGAAGCCATCTCACACCACACAGACCCAGCCAAAGGATGTAACCCCACAGCCCATGAACAATTATACCCCACAGAGGACAGGGAACAGCCTGTGAGTGTGGGCACAATATGCAGAACAGCAGGATGGGTGCATTTCCTAAGCCACACTTCTTACAATTCTCCTCATCAAACAATCTACACTCATGAAATTTTGTGCAAGAGCACACTCAAGAATAAAATTAGGAGCTAACTAAATGTGCAATTTTTTGTAAAAACTAAGAAAGGATTTTTTTAATTAAAAAAAACCAAACATAAATGAGATATTTAGCATACTTTGAAAGTGACCTACAGCCTCTTGCTTTCCTCCACAGGATTTTGGCCCAAGTGTTTTCCAACATCCAGAACACAATGCCATGCTCCCTGTTCCTGGGATCTGTTTAATGGAATGCTCACAACCTATTCCAAAGAGGGGCAAGGACAAAAAAATGAATCTTGCCTGGGCAGCACTCAAGTGCAAGTGGGGAAAAAAAAAGCCAACAAACCAGCAATTTATTCACTTTTAAGGGTTTCATACCAGATATAGTGTCTTGTATTAGGAATAAATTATTTACTGCCCTAATAAATTATTTGGCCCATCCCTGGAAGTGTCCAACGCCAGCTTGGACATTAGGGCTTGGAGCAACCTGGAATTTTGGAAGGTGTCCCTGCCCATGGCAGGGGGCTGGAACAAGATGAGCTTTTAGGTCTCTTGCAATTCAAATAATTCTGGGATTCTCCCTCCCTAAACCACACCATTTACTCAGACAAAACTGCAAAAAGGGACTAAAAACTTCAGCAGCAGCAGATTAAAAAAATAAGCCAATACTGTGACCTGTCTATAAAATTCCACTACATATCACCATTTAAGAAAATATTTAATAAATTATATATTTTAAAATAGCAATAAGCTACACAGATAATTATCACAGGAATGTGCTAACTACTCATATTGTTATATTGTTAATTGACCAACTCCGGCGTGGTGGGAGCGAAGGAAAGCCAGTGAGGGGACACGCGGCTCAGCGAGGCAGCACTCGGGGATAAAACCAGCGCTTGATTTATTATTGTTTACACACATCCCCAGCAGGGCCTCTGGCCAGTGTCAAGTCTCAGCTCCTAATTGCGGCCGCGTAAACACCCGGCAGTCCTGGGCCTGGCTGCGGGGAAGGTGTCAGCTCG